TCTCTCTCTCTTCCGCCCCCCCCTGTCGTCCCCCCACTCTTTCTGTCTGGCTGTATGTCTTTTGTCTGCCTCTCTCTCTGGCACAGACATAGGTGTTCACACCGTTCCCTCCAACTCTCTCTGTCTCTCTCTGTATGTCTTTTGTCCGCCTCTCACTCTGGCGCACACATAGGTGTTCACACCCTCCTCCCCGCCCCCCCTTTTTCTCTCTCAAACATGCATACCCACGTGTATGCTAGCGGGAAGCCTGACAATGGTTATCATATAATTACACCTCCAGTATCTTGCCCGATTTTTGACACCTTGCACGGGCGCAGCGTCTGTGTATCTGCGTCGTTCCACGACATTGGATTGGATCTGAGGTATGTAATCCTGGATTTATTTTATTATTATTATTATTATTGTTCAATCCTGGATTAATGAGGTCATGGTCCTTCTTAATCATGCGCTTCGTTCCGCTATGACGTTTTGCAACAGGTAAAAAGCCCCAGCCAAGATGTGCGCGCGCACTCGCCGACGAGGAAGAGTCAGAGTTACGCCTGTCCAAAATTGGCGGGCCTATTGTCCTCTGGCAGAGTTCTCTCCGCCATTGATCTTGGATCCAACGGTTGCGGCAACGAGCCCTTGGCATCAAGCTCCAGATGGAGGCGCAGCGACTAGTAGTAGTACTAATAAGCCCATCCGCCTGCCACTGTTCCATTCAGCCGCTATAAGAACAGCCAGCAGTGCTGAGATCAATGGCCACCTGCATAAAGAAGAGATCAACGGTGGAGAAGGAACCCTTGGAGGAGGAGGAGGAGGAGGGGGAGGAGGAGGAGGAGAAGGAGGAGGAGACGGCGACGGTGGCGGGTCAGACCGTCCAGGACCAGTCTCGGCAGACGAGCGAAATGACGACTCATCTGTGGTGCTGCCGCCAGTTCTTTTTGCACGGGACGTTGTGGTGCATGTTGGCGGGGCCGTTTGGGCCCTTGATTGGTGCCCATATCCCGCCACCGAGATTAGCCCCTTTGAGTACTTCGCCGTCGGCACGCATCCTGCTGCACAGCCATTTCACAAGATTGGTGAGCCTGCGCATGGGCCACTGATCATCCAGATCTGGGCTGTGCGCAATCAGGATCCCGATGGTATGATGGTTCCAGGCCGGTTGTATCGGGACGGCAGAACGGAAGATCTGCCGCGCATGGTTATGGGAATAGCACACGAAGGGGGGACCACGTGGGATGTGAAGTGGCGACCGGTGATTCCCGAGAAAGGCCGGGGGGAAGCGACACATGGCGGCAGCAGCAGCAGCAGGAGTCTCAAAGAGAAAACAGGGAGGAAGGTAGGGGGGCAGAATGAAGGTAAGGTAGGAAGAGGAGGAGGAGGAGGAATGGCGGGACGGGCAGGGGAAGTAGCTGGAGATGATGACAGGGAATTACCGGAGAAGCAAGAGAAAGTAGGTGAGGGGCGTAAAGAGAGCAGGAAGAGAAGTAGCCTTGGGTACTTGGCGGCAGCGTTGGGCAATGGTTCGGTAGAGATCTACGAGGTTCCTGTTCCAGATTGGGAGAGTAGGGCAACCACCTTCCCTTCTCCCTTTTCCTCCTCTTCCAGGCTTTCACGGTATGGACGAGGCGACGAGGAAATGGACGAAGAGGAGGGTGAGGAGAGCATGGGAGAAGGAGAACGCTTGAACAGCCGCACGATGGGGGAAGGGGGAGGAATGGGAGGAGAAGGAGGTGGTTGGGGAGGGGGGACAAGAAGGGTAGGGGAAAGGACAGAATCAGAAGGGGATGATGATGATGATGAGGAGGAGGAGGAGGAGGAGGGGTCAGATGTGTCAGAGGACCTGGGCGTAATTCCGAGTGAGTACGAGTTCCAGAAGTCCGATATGAAGAGAGGAAGGGATGGGAAACCTCGTCGAGACAGCTATGGAGGAGGAGGGGGAGGAGGGGGAGAAACAGCGGGTAGCATGCCCTCGTTGGCGGGAATCATTGTGAAACTTAGGCCTGTGTTTGTCTGTGATGACCTACGTGTGGGAGAGAGGAGGAGTATCCCAATGACCTTGGCATGGGCGCCGAATGGGTACTGTGATAGACTGCTGGCTGGGTGCCATGATGGGCGGGTAGCATTGTGGAATGTGGATTTGGGGAGGAATCGTAGGGCTAGGGGCAAGGGTGTGAAGATGGAGGAAGCTCAGCAGCAGCAGCAAGACGAGGAGGAGGGGGAGGAGGAGGATCAGGAGGAAGAGAGAGAGGAAGATGGAAGAGTGACACGTGTACGTCCATTGCTGTACTTCACTGCTGATTCGGCGCCAATCAGGGCGCTGGCGTGGGCACCGTATGGAACTGGCGGCCGGTGGAGTCAGCATTTTATTGCAGTGGCTGGCAACTCTGGCCTACTTAGATTTTGGGACCTCAGGGATCCCTACTGTCCCATTTGGGAGCATCATCTGTCCCGAGGGTGGGTGTTAGGGCTGACGTGGCTGTCTCATCCCAGGTGCATGCTGATGTGTCTGGACGACGCAACGATCCGGATCTTATCGTTCGATGATGCGGCGGCTGCGACCCCGGTGACGGGAAAAGGTGGGAGTCTGGGTAAGGACCACGGGATGCATGCATACGTGTGCGGCTCTAGCACCATCTGGGGGATCGACGTGTCGCGACACACGGGACAGGTGGCATACTGTAATGCTGATGGTAGGCTTTTCCGCTTTCAACTGACAATCAAGGCGGTCACTAAAGGACACAGCCGGTACAGAGAGCTTCATTACGTGTGTGGGCTTTTGGCGCGCTCTAACGATCATCCGATGACGCCCATGCTGGTACTCTGTCGGGATTACCAGTCACAAACAGATGGCTGCACCGCCGCCGCCGCTGCCGGTGGAGGGGCCGGGGGAACTACTCCACGTGGCAAACAAGGAGGCGGCGGGGGCGCAACAGCAGCAGCAGCTGACCGCGGCCTGCGGCCGATGTGTAAGAAGAATGTTCCACTGATGCCGACGATTAGCACAGGAGCCCAATTAGGGTTGACATCAGCGACTCCTGGTGGGGGGCTGTGGATGAGTGGTTTGGGTCCTCTCGGATCACCGCAAAGGGGGGGGATGGATCATGGGGGGGAGGGTGGTGGTGGTGATAAGGCTCACCACCTTGCGTCCCCTCCTCCCCCTCCACATCCACGTGCTCCCGGTTCTGCTCCTCCCTTTCCTGCGCTTCTCTCTCCCCCTCCTCCTGCAGTGGCGGCTGTGGGGGAAGGTATCGTTAGGTCGGGATCGGGTCTCAAGCCAATTTACACAAACAATAATAGTGCCAGCGGTGGGGGAATGGTTGTCGGGGGAGAGCTAGGGTCTCCTATGACCATGGGAAGGTTTGTCAAACAAGCAGGAGAGAGATTGGCGTCGACAACTGTGGCCCTGACACGTGTACGGTGGAACCCTAACAAAGCGAATGCCAGTTGGGTCCTATGCGGGTCTAGCGGAGGGCTTGTCAGATGCCAACACCTGGATTTTTGATCTGATCGTGCATCCGGTTGGTGACTGGTTCGGTAGACTATGGGCTTGAACACAAGGGTGTATATATCGATGGGCTCGTCCTCAATGGCCTCCTGTTTTCTTCTTCTTCCCGGACACATTGCGCAAGTTTTTTTTTTTTTTTTTTTTTTTTTTGTAGTCCGCATAGTGAAAGTCGATTGTTTGCGTGGATAATAGTCGTTTCTGCTTTTTTTTTGTACCATTTCTCATCATTTTCCCTTTATGTTTTCCCATTGTTTTCCCTTTCGTTCCCCTCCTCCTCACTTTCCCTCCTTTCCCTCCTTTCCTTCCTTTCCCTCCTTTCCCCCCTTCCCATCCTTTCTGCCCC